GATTCAACAAATACTTATTGAATATATCTTATATTGGCTTGTTTCTCTAGGCACAACTGGCTGTGGCTCTGTTTAAAGACAATGAGAAGGCTGGGTGAGGACATGGACAGAGCACTGGAAGAGGAGTCAGTGCCCCTCCTCTCCAATCCAGGTTTCCCTGAGCTCTCCAAGCATCTAGCATATTGCCTAGCATGTAATCAGTGCTCAGTGGATTCTTGGCCCATCTGAGAACCCAGAAATTCAAGACATCATTTACCCTCTCTAAGCACTGGGTTTTCATATCTAAAAAAAAAAAAAAAAAACAATGAAGTGGTAAAAGATTAAAAGATTCTTTCCCGTTATATGGCCTTATTCCCTCCCCTGTAATCATTCCCTCACGGTTCTTTCTAGCCTACCATCAAAAGAATCTTATAACAGGAATACCGACTAAATGTGACTAACATAAAGGGAGAAATTGAACACATATAATATACATGGTCTTTGGAAGCACTATGGTCAAAACCATGCACACAAGTTCACTATAAAGATTTTGTTGTCAATTGTATATTCCAGAAAAGAAATACAAGAATCACACTCACTGTTCCTTCATTTCCACATAGTCTTCTTCATCATGCTTTGCCAGGTCAGTTTCACTAGCATCCTCGGTATCTGAGTAAAATTAGGGAAGAAGGGTTAGTTAAAATCATAATTCACAAAGTTGGTATCACCTGACACCGTGTAAGCCTTAATCAACTTCTGTAAAATGAGTTTCTACTCATGCAGGCCTGCATGAGGCCACCCATGAAAAATATTAAATAGTTACTTCAGAAAAGAAAACGCCATTTCCAACTTACACAGTCAGATTTATGCAATGAGCCTGCCTTTATCTGAAGTGCAACCAGAAAATAGGGTGCATCAGACATGGACAGTCATGGTAAAGGCTGCACTTCTGAGGAAGCAACAACTTTGACAGTTCAGAAAAGATGTGAGTGTTAGACTGGACTCTGCAGGCAGTCAAGGCTCACTCACTGCCCCACAAAAAAAACCTATTATGTACATTCTCTCCTGGTACATGTCCAGTGTGAACTCTTCACACATTTTACATCAGATATATATAATAACAAAGGGAAACCCAACACAACAAATAGAACTCTAGTAACTAAAATATTTTCAAAGTTACAACTAAAGGGAGCAGGAAGGACACAAGATGATCAAACAAAAACGGTTTCAAAACATCTTAAACACTGTTCTTAGAACAAGCAAGTGGCTGGAGTGTCTACATCATTTCAACAGCCCCTACGCTTGAAGGGAAAAAAAATAATTTTGGTTTCACCATTCCCCCTAGTGGGCATTACAATCAGTGCAAGTGACTCACATTCAAAACCTCCGGTTAGGCCTTTCCTCCGAA